ACGAAACAGCTATTTAAAAATTATAATTTTAAATTTTAAAAAGTTTGGAAAATTGCAAGTCTAGCGTTTACTACCCCGATAATTACTTCCAATATTAGTGAATTTCAGTTATCGTTCTTGATTTATGACTTAATTTGTCGCTTGAGGGCGATCAGTTGTTAAGTACGCTGATGCCGAAAAAACAGAATCAAATTGATTAAACATCGAATTTGGCATTTTATTTTGGTTTAATTAATCTACTGAAAATTAAGGAATGTCTAACTTCAAACTAAACATCTTTTTCCTTGAAATCTAGCGATACAGTGGGTGTCAAATTTGATCGGGTTCAGGTTGCTCGAAACTTGTCTGTTGTCATATGCGGATTTGGGCAGGATTATTATAGTTTTACAGTTTGACTGCGTTATCAAAGATGCACAAGAGTTTATAACAGACTTCAAAGAAAATTGGTCATCGCATTACACAATCGTTGCTAAACAGCAGTTTTATTGAAACTCTCAACCATAAAGTCATGTTGGCGAGGAAATGCGGACTTATTCGAGTCATGCGACACTCGATTTGAGAACAACAACATAGCCTATGTAACACTTGATTGTGGTTATTTCAAGACACAATTATATATCTAACATTTATGGATTTATTTCCCGAAATCCTGCTGAAATATGGAAATTATCTTCTCACAAAAAAAGGAGTTCATGTGATGCAACATGTGCAAGTAAGTAGTTTTTTAAGCTAACAGTGAGGAAAACCCTTTTGATGTCAAACAAAAATAATAAGCAAGCTTTTTTCCATTAAGCTTAAGTCCTTAATTTTGGTCTTTTTCAAAATTATTTCAAAGTTGGGTGTAATTTTTTTTCTTCTTGGAAATCTTTCGTATGAATTAGGAGAACCCCATTTTATAAAATGGGTATAGATATTTATTTTATTTTAAACTACCAATTAAAAAAAAAATATCTTGCTTAAGACTTTAAAAATGTTTTTTAGAGATAAGTAATTACATTGTTTCATAATTTTAAATTTTATGCTTATTCAGAGTTTAAAATACTGGGTAATATGCCACTACATTTAATTTTTCAGAATAGTTCAAGTTGCAGAAGAGTTCTTTGATCTTCTCAAACAGTAGAGGTTTTCTTCTCCTGTCCAAACTTCAAAATTTAGTGAAAAACGAGGAAACAAACTTAACCAATGAAAGAATTTTCTATAATCACATCGAGCAGTGAATCTGGTGCCTTTTGTTGTGTTTAACCATCATAAAAGCTAGTGACAGTAAAGTAGGTTACCGTAGAACTTTAGTCCTACATTGCTCATTAACCAGTTAACTTTTGTAAACAAAGGGAATAGCATACCAGTTGAGATTTAGAGTAGCGAGTACTATATGAGAAAACAACGGAAACCATCCAAAAGTAGAAGCACCACAAGTCCATATATTGATCAAGTTCAGAATTTTGAATGTGCATGTCTGCTTGAAAAGTACTGTAGTTTAAAAAGCATTTTTTTTTTTTAAAAAATCATGGGATGGAATGATGATTATAAAGAACTGATATTGTAACAACTTTTCTTCTACAAATTTTGATCTTTGTATGATGTACAAAGTAATTTATAAATCATGTAAATTGTTAATATTTAATAAACATGTTAAACCTTTTTGCAAATTGGTCATTGTTGATTTCTTAAGAATAAACTTGGAAATTTCCATATTAAAACATTTAGTTTAGTATGTTGAACAACATGACATATTTGTTAAATATGCAATTAAAAATATCATATTGCTGCACATATAATGGTACAGTAAATCAAATGTTGCAGCTGCATCATTTTCTGCAGTTGAACAAAATCCTTTACATTCCTTTCATATACATGCATGTACTAGTATGATTTAGAAGGAGTCAAAGAACTTAATGAATTTATAATTTTATCTATAAAAGTTGAGAGTTTTAGGACATTGCTAGCAGAGACCAACATACCCTGACTTGTTTATACATAAAAATTATGTCTTCTTGTAGCATAATGTATTCTCTTTTGTTATATATAAGTTAGTATTTGACAAACAGTAAAAGCTGAAAAACTAAATGGAAAAAATAAATAAATGCTTATATAAGAAGAATCACCCAAATAGATAGTGATTGGTCATCATGTTTACTATATGAATAAAGTAATACAAGAAAACTGGATGCGCCTGCTTAGTTTTAACAGCTGTTTAAAATAAAAACAGAAAAAAATCTGGAATCATCAAAATTGGGTACTTAATATACAGAATTTCGATCCCGATCATAATTCTCTCCAAAACTATTTTAGAGAAATAAAATTAATTCCAGAGTAAACTTGGTACATTGAATAGAAAAAATCACAATAATGTGATAAATGTAATTAAGAAACAATTCAATAAAAGTTAAATTTTACACACAATGCACTTAGATTTAGGAAAAAATCTTGTCAAACTTCAAGCAATTTATCAAAATTTCTCAATAGTTTTCCTTTTCATTAAAAACTGCAAATTGATTTTTCCACACTTTTTAAACTGGAAAACTAACAATGAGCAGTTGTTTTATTTTTCCATGTGTAATAAGCTACATAATGTGTTTGCTGTTTTTAATAATATTGTTTTAATTTCACAATGTTTGTGACATCCAAAATGTCTTGACATATAATTACAATGGTTACTATGGATACGACCTAGATACCAACTCCATCACAACTAATACAAGAAGGATACAGACTCCTCTCAAAATAAAATAGGGTTAGATAATTTATGAAAAACAACAACACTTGTTACTTCTGTACTGAACTTCCTCTTTTTTGGTTGACATTTTGGCCCATAAATGCCAGAATCTATTTATAGTAACATATCACAGCCTGGATGTGCCTTTTTGGAAAAATCATGATTTATTTTAATTACTACTGTATCAAGTAATAATATAAAAAAAATATTGGCCGAATATGAAATATTCGACTTATCACCGATTGCCTGATTCTTACGTGGACCTGTACTTAATTTTATATGCATAAAACATAAGAAAAGATTTAAGAAACATTTATTCATATCCAAGACTATTTCAGAATATGGTGATGCTTTATAGCCCAATTTCAGTGGAAAATATCGTCTACCCCCTTATTTCAAGAGCTGGAATTAGGGATATTTTACTATTTAGCACTGGAATTAAAATAATCAATTTCCATTGAACTGTTCTTTGTATTAAACAAAGATTTTATGGCCAAATTGTCCAGTGAAGCCTTTCAGGCTTTTGATCCAAAATGTGCATGCTCAAAACTAATTGAAGAAAAATAGACCATTAATTGTTGCTAAATACAGGCGATTAGGTACAAACTTTTCCTTTTTACAACGCAACAAGTAGACTAATAGAAGCTGTATATGTTGTTTCTATAAATTCATAAACAAACGATAATTTCTAGTTATATCCTAAAAATAGGTTTCTATAGCCCAAAGCAAAACACATGTTTTATTGTGTTCATATCAACTCTAAATGAGAATGACTATGGGCCATAAAATACAAAGATAGCCATCTAGAATGTTTCAAAATATCAAGAAGCAAGCTGTGTTGTGTTAGTTTATTCATTGTATAAAGTTTAAATAATTTTTTTTTAATTTTTCATTTAGTTATTAGTTTTGGCCAAACGTTCTTTCATGAAGTTTGCTGGTAGATTGTTGTTGACCTCTTTACTTCATTGAGTAAAAAAAAAAAATTCTCCCTTTTCTGATCGAACATCTGAGGTAAAAATACTAAAACATACTGAACTTGAAAAATATGAAACGTTAAATGCATTATTTTTTGGAAAAAATGTAGGGCCTCAGATTACCTAGAAATCATTTCCAGTTGCCCTGCTCCCTTCAACTCGACTCCTAGCTCCTTTATACTCGGATTGCTATTCTAATTGAGCCTAGATTTTAGCCTAAAACCCCGCAGGTCTCTTTTCTGTATATGGTCATACTGAGTTTATCCGACCTGAATCTCTTAACTAATTGCATAAACCCAGTGCTAAAACAAATATATATATATAACTTACATTTTAATATTATGCAATATTCTTTTGATATGGCCTTCAGCTTGATATTTAAATATATCAATGACGTATTATCAATAAACAATAGTAATTCTATTGATATGTCGACCCTATATATCCCATTGAACTTGATATAAGATACCACAGAGTCTGACATACGTGTTACATATTTTAATATTTTACTAGAAAAAGACATTAATGGTAACCTTATAGCAAAACTTTATGATTAACGAGATTTCAATTTTTCCATCATCAGCGTCCCTTATTTATGTAGCGAAATACCCTTGTCCCCTGTATATGCTGTTGATATAGATCTCCCAGTTGATTCAATAAGCAAGAGCATGCTGAACGAACGAACAATTTCTACATTGAGGCAAGCGATTGGAAACAAGTTGATGAATGAAGGATATTAACAGTTTTGTTTAAGTCATCATTTCGCAAGTTCTATGGTCGATATAATGACCTTGTCAGCAAATTAAATACAATCTATCATTAAGTCGAATGCTGACTGGTGTTTTTCATCCTAATTGTTAGATCATTATTTATACACTGAATTGTCTATGGACTTTTCCGTTTGCCCGATCATGACAATGAGCACACGACAGGTTTGACCGATTGACAGGGGATGCTTACTCCTCAATGGCACCTACCGGTAATCCCACCTGTGATATTTTTACGAGATCTGTATTTGCTCTGCTTCAGATTTGTGTTATTTCAGTGGACTTGTGGGATTGATTACTCTTTGTTATCTTCACATTTCATAAAAATGTGTAAAATATTTATATAATATTTTTTTTACATCCTTTTACATTTGTTTAAATATAGACGAAGATTTGAATCTAGTCCTCCAATTATACATTTTAGCTCACTAAAATGTGCAATGTCTGGTAATTTCTATTTTAAAGACACGGATATAAAGGAAAATGTTGAAAATGCAAAGTAATAATAATCTGACCTTTACTTTGTAATGTCCTATGTTTCAGCTGTTGAATTGGTTCTTAATGCTGTTTCAAGAAAAATCCGAGGCATAGGAATCAGTATTCTGGAGTGTCTATTTGAAGTCAATGTGGAAGTCACTCCCACTCTCAGTTTTGAGGAGAAAGTATTTAGAATCTTGTACCAATGGAAATCCAAGAATGCACACATTGATCACTTGAGAGAATTAGAGAGCATTCTACAGAGAGAAGGTCAAGGACAAGCTGCTGAATACGTTAGAACATTTGATATTAAGGACTTTGCTTGCAGTGGTGTTGCTAGCCCAGATCAGAATGTTTCAGCAACAGAATTCAAAACATTATCCGAATATCTCCCAAAAGACTACACTCATTTTGTCCGATTTTTAGGGCTTCCTCAAAGATATATCGAACAAATGGAAGCAGATGCTTTGAAGATACAGGATAAAATATATAAATCACTTTCAAAGATACAGGAGGAATGTCGTTACATGCTTAGCCGACAGAAGGTTTGCAATGCATTGAGATTTATAGACAGAAATGATGTGATAGTTGAACTTGGATGGACATCACGCAAACGAAAAAGAGATGACTGATCGGGAAACCAAAAGTGGATTTTGGATTCTTAAAGCTGTGTATGTTACCGTCTTCTCATTGTAAATTAAATCAACACGAATAATTTTTATGCAAAAGCTTGTAGAATAGCATCCTATTACTGTAAACCAACTTTTATTCACGTGCGAGAAATATTCACGAGTTTTGTGACCTACTTTAACTCACGAATATTAATCGCTGCGAACCATTTATTTAGCTTTGTATTTGTAGAGAATGTTTCCTCAGTCGCGAAAATTAATTGTCGCGGATTGATTTTAAAAGGACTAATCGCGAAAAAAAGATGACGGGAATGATAGTTGGTTTACAGAATTTGTTTGTTTAAAGAAGACTGTCCATATTTGAGAAAGGTTTCAAACTTACTGTTAACTGGAGTATCATTCATTTCTTGTGCTGTCATGATCTGTAATTTTTATGTTTTTTGTTGTATTTTTAGTTGTTCTTAGTGCATGAAAGGTGAAAGCGTGTGAAATAGTTACATATAACATGACAATTTGTATATACATTCATTACTGCAAATTAAGTCACTTAGTTATATAAAAAAAAAACAGATGTCTACTCCTTAAAAAGATAAGCTTTGTTTCAATAGCAAATGTAATTAATACACTCATTTATGTACGTTATCTATCAAAATGATTGTGTTTTGTCATAAAAAAATTATTGTAGTTTTGCTTAACTTATTTGTCTGGTAATACTTGTGTTATATATTTTTTCTTATGAGATTTGTTAGTATTTAATTTTATTTCATGTAATGATAAATACACGTCAACAGCATGTTATGTGGGATAATTGTTAACTTTACTTGAACAAGAAAAACTTGTTTAATTTCCCACTTATTGATTTGTCATATATCTTGAAAAACACAAATTTCATTTTTTATGCTATATCAAATTAATTTGTCTCTTTGTCCACTTGTATTTCCCTTTTAATTCAGTTTATGTAGCCCGTGGTAAACAATTCCTATCTTATAGACTTATTCGATGATTTAAATGAAATTTTTTCCGTAATTGTTAAAATCTTATCATCGAAAAAGTCATTAAGTTAAGATCTTTTCATCATAAATGTGAAAAAACCCAGATAATTAGGATCATTGCCAAGGCACGGTTATCTGGAAAAATGTTTGCTATATGGGCTTTTCCTCTAGTGTAAAATAGTGATTGAGAGTGATCTACCAACAGTCACGCGATTTTTGCAGTTACACTTGCAATATTTAAGTCACTTAAAAATTTCAGTAGTGCAAGGACAAAATAAAGTTTTAAAACAAAGTTTATTTTGTACATATTTTTTTAACTCATTGAAGATTGTGAAAAGTGCTGCGATTCTGTACTGATTGTTCTCTTCCATTTTTATCCCCTCGCGCAACTAGTTGCGGAGGGGATATAGCATCGCTACCGTGCGTTTGTGTGTGTGTTAGTGTGTCCGTTACAGCTTGTGGGCAAGATTTAAAGAGAACCTTTGGACTATCAATTCTCAGCTTCCACATACTTATGTGGCATTGGAACTCTATTCATTTTCAAATTAATCGGTAAAATATTTCTAAAAATATCGCGATTTTACTACCTTCAAACCCTGAAATTTTATGTACGACTTGACAATATTCCCTTCCGCTTAATCAACCTGGAAAATTCGGTTCGCTTCGACAGACTCGCTTCAGTAAATTCTACTTTGTGTTTGCGAAATTTGGGAAAATATTTACAATCTTATTATCATGAATTAATAGAGGATATAACAAATGTGTATTCATAAGAAAAATAGTGTTATCTTTACCTCAGTAACCAGTATAAGAAATTGAACTTGGTTGAATAATGAAGGGATCTGGGAATGTTGCCCTACAATATGGCGGCTAAGGGAAATAACTCCTAGGTAATATATGTCATAGGAAAAGGGTCTATTGTCATATTATTGAAATGTCTTTATATATTCCTGAAAGCTATAAAGACATTTCAAAAGTTTCAGTGACCTCTCAACACCGGTAAATTGTCATTTTTTATTACGAAGAAAGATTGCTTCCGCGGGTATTCTTAGATTTTAAGCATATTGCATGCAACTTTGAGATTTACATAGGTAGGTAAATTACTGAAACCTAGAGCATACGTGATATGTTTCTGCGAATTCTGGATGTTTCGGGACCGCGATGTTTCGGGACCCAGACGTTTCGGGACCGCACAACACGCATCGGGACTTGGGTTAACACGTTTCGGGACTTGAAATAAATTTGTTTGAAACATGAATCAGATTATGCAGTACATGTTTAGCATGATATATAAGAATTTTAGTAGGCCTATAAGACATTAAAATAATGTCGACATAAAAAAAATGTCGAACGTGTGCAGTAGTACTAGTTGGTCAAAATATGTTTCAAAAAGGCTAAGGTACCTCGAACTCGTGAAGAATTTGAATGCTCAATAATCAGTCAACTTTCTCCTTCAAATAAAGTATCTAGATTAAAAAAAAAATAATTGAAATATTTAAATCCGCATTATAAATTTTTATTTAAGAATATTTTTTTTTTACATATATTTAAATATACATTTATATTTTTAACATATATCCTATGCAAAGGAGCTCAGTCAATAATTTAATCGAATACACAATTATAAAATTATCAAGGTTATTTTTGAAATTTTACAATTCAGAAATTCACTTGTATGGGATTTATCAAATGTATATATTCCTGATAATTTTCATTTGTACGCGAAAGTAATCGTGTAAAATTGCATTTTAATCCCGATTTGAAGCTTGGGTGAATAACATTGACATCCGTTTTCAAAACAATTCCGACTGATATTAGGAGAGAATAAATACAATGTAAAAAAAAAAAAATTAAATAATTTTTTTTTTCATTGTTATTTTTCTTCTCAACTTTGTATTAATATCTGTTACTGCTGTAAAGCTCCTGCATTTATTCTTTAATTATTTCTCCTGTAAATTCAACCATAATACACTGTATGTAATAATATCATTCTATTGTGTTTTTTTTCTCTCTCTCTCTCTCTGACATACATACATATTGTACAAATCCATTAGACTTCTTCTGTATAATTAGAACGTCATTCATTTGTGTGAATCGACATCATTTCTAATTTAACATGTATGTCAATTTCAAATATTAGTTTTTAAGCAGCTTCAAAACGTGTTTTGTAACTATCTAATAAAGGTCTGTCACCTTAATCATAATAATAAGGAAACGGATTAGTATAAGTTTTCAAACTTGTTTCTGAATCCTTTTTGTTTGTTTGTTTTTTGTACTACTTGCCTGTATTTTCTGCTTGTAATTTTCAAATACACGTAAAATATGGTTTAAACTAAAATAAATAAACGAGGGGTGTCCCAGAAGAACGCAAACTTTTAAAATATTTCATAAACTACCTGACCAAAGTTATTTCCAATTTCTAACTACTATATTAAAAGTTCATTTCAGCTGGTTTATTCCTAAATTCCGTATACCAAATTAATTCAAAAATTCATTTATTAAAAAAAAAAAATACGTAATTACTGGAAGCACAAAACATTTTCTGGCTCATTGTAACATTTAAAAACATTTTTAAATTATTTTCAAAAAAGATTATGGTATTATTTCTAAGACACATTTCATGGAATTGATTTAAAACGTTTTAAATCAAAAATGATATTATAAATATGTCTTATTTGCAAATATTAAATTCATGTTTTGTTTAGAAAATGTTTATAAGACATTCTAGATTTTAAAAAAAATTGACTCCGTCACTAGGTCAACTTGAATTTAAAATTTCCACTTGGGCACATTAAATAGATCTTATGATAAAATTTGAAATGTTTAAAACATTTTTAAGGTATGTCACTCCTGACATTATTTGTATCAAGAATTTTAAGAAAAAACGAAAAGCTGACGAGTGACATACAATATACCTTAAATCTGTATCATACAAAATGATGTTACTAAATAACATTTGAAGTCTAATTTTTTTCCCATAACATTTCAAGAAAGAAAATCTTTTAACAATACATGTACTAGTTTAAACCTTTTGAAAAAATATTTTAAAACGCTTTTAAAAAAATGCAAAATCACAAGATTGATTCATTTTCAAAAAGTTTTTGAAAACATTTTGAAAACGTTTATATTTATATATATATTTTTTTATGACTGGATATTACTATTATCAATTTTATCTGAATTATTTCATTTACAAGTAAACAAAAACAAAGAGCAATAATATTTTTTCCCACATTTTTACATCATTATTTTTTTAAAAATAATTTCAAGAAAAGCCATGGACACACAATCTATTTAGTTCTCATTACCGGCGGTGCCTTCAAGTAACACTTCCCTATGTACAGTATCAGTCGGGATATGTGTGTGTGTGTATCCTAATTGTTGTTTTAACAATTTTCTGACATGTTGTTTTAAACATATTGAACGGTAGCTGGAGATCACATAATAAATATTATCAATTATCATTTTAAATAAAGTTCATCAACGTGAGAAATCTTTTCTAAATTATGATTCAATTTCGCCCCCCCCCCCCCCAAATAAATATAGTAAAGTTTTACTCTTCTTCGTCTGTTGTGAATTAAATATTGAAGTATATTTTTTTATGGCAATAATATACATGTAAACAACTTCATTATATACATGTATAAATAAATTATAATGCGGCGTATTTAGCTTGAAATAGTTTTATATTACGTGCTATGTGTACTTATAAAAACATACTACATGTATATCACCATAATACAATAATTTGTTGAAATCCCGAAAAATTTAACCCAAGTCCCGAACCGTCTTTACCCAAGTCCCGAACAGTCTTGTCGCTAGTCCCGAAACGTCGTATTAGTCAGGTCCCGAAACGTCGGGGTCCCGAAACATCGTGCACCCGTTTCTGCTAGGAATAAGGGAAACTGTCCAATTACGTATGCATGTTATTCCCCCTCCCCCACGATGTTATGCACTTTGGTTTAAAAATGCCCCCCCCCCCTCCCCAAGATGATTTTGTTGAAAAAAATAATTTGTGCTGCAATATATTTTATTTTCTTTACCTTT